TATATATTAGTTAGTAATAAAAAATTGAAATGTACGCTATGCAGCAATGAATAGATTGTACTACTCCTAAGTGTCTTAGAAAGCTATGTAAATATTTGTAGATACATTCGAATACTTGTTGAAAAAAGTACGCTATATTTAACCTACACGTTTTGAAATGTGTGCAATGGACCTCAACGTACATAAGACTTGTCAGAAGCACCAAATTAAACATAATGCAATTAAGTACGGCTGTGTAAGACGGTTTAGGGCGAGGACGTGTTTGTTCTCCCTCTATATATATAATGAGGTTCTGTTGTATAACATGGCACGCATCAGGGGGTGGTTAAATCTTTTCGGGGCAAAACGCTCTGAGCTAATACGAAGCGCTGACGATGTTCACGTTACGTGTACATCAAAAATAACTTGCTTTGCCTTCATACGAGCCACAGTATAAATGAGGCCCTATGGAACTAGATAGACGCACAAACATAGCGCGTGTGGGGGCCAGATAAAATGTGATTTGTATACAAACATTTCATAGAACCGGTTGCCAAATCGATATTATCAAACTGCGTTAAACAGGAGAGCGAGTGTCTGACCTCAAAGGTAAAGGCGAGTGCCCACAGAGAGAAAAGCACCTTGTACAATTTTATTAGCGCGAAAACTGGATTAGCTTGGCACTAAGTAACGTTCTTATCCAGTCATAACCAGCTGATTATAAACGGACTGTCATTTGCCCTATTTCTCTTATTTGTTTCGCGGTTTCATTCCAAAGTGACAATGTACACACACACACCTCATTCGCATTTTATTCTATAAATCGTGTCGTCTAAGCAATGACGTGGTCGAAAAAATACGAAAAGCAAGAATAAACATTACAAACGTGTCCAAAAATAACTTAACGAGGTCATTAGCTCTCTCTGCATTTACTAAGTGCAAATGATACTGGCAACCTTCAGGACAAACATGGAAATGAGACAACCGCGCCTTAAGCAGTGCCTTAACAATAAGCCACACCAACTTGGCAGGCCGCCAATGTCGCAAGGTCATTGGAAATATGCGGGTGTTAACTACCGTATTGCTAGATCGTCAGATGTTCCCTACAACTTTTCCTCCCCTAGACCGCAGGCAAAGTATGCATCCCTCCATTTATACCTTCTGTTCCGTTTGCTTGGTTTGTTTTCATTAACGCTCAGTAACGAGATAACAGTTAGACGATATGCTTCCGCTACAGTATACTAATAGTAATTAAATATAATGATAATAGTAGTAACCATGTTGATAAGAGTAATATTTGGTAATTCGAGTTCGAATCAGTGGCGGGCAACAAAAAATCTTTGACGATGAGCAGGTCATAACTTCTCCTTAATTTAAATACTCGGACAGATGTCAGAGCGTCCTTTTGCGCAGCCATTTAAAAACATAAGTAAACCATTACCTTACCAAGTTACTTGCTCCTGACGGGGGTTCGCCTTTTAGCGGTTCCCTTGAATCCAATGGCTCTTTGCCTTTTCTGACCAAAAACCAGCCTAAATTTTACCTTACACCGTTTCTTCTATCTCTCACTTTCTGGCTCCAAAAAGCGATAACAGCCGGTCCTGTTTCATAGACGCTAGTTCCGTTTCATCTATTAGGAGTCTCTATGAATTAATGCCGCTTCGGTCGGCTTACAAAGATGAGTCAAGGCGCAACGACCCACAGGCTAAATGGGGAAAACCTGCCCTTTCACAGAGAATGCCATGGGAACTAGGTAATTGACTTTGCAGGTATTCTCTGTTACTACAGATATCTGCCTAGCTTGTACACGGAATCTGATTTACTCGGCTGCAAGACGCAGTGAAGTACCGAGTCAGGTCGCGTCATGGTGTTAACTGGTGCTGCTAACTGGGTGAAGATGGCAGCTTACCCACTGCATGTTGCACAGTGTTATATAGCGGAAGACGTGAGTGCATTTTAAGGCCTTTTTCTATAATGGCGGCTGCGGTATCGGTGGTCAGCAACGTCGGTTCCTTCTACCGTGTCTACTTAGGTTAGGTAAAGAACAACGCTTGTATCGAAGATTTGTTCACCAATAAGGGTATATACGCCGTAGGTAATGGTGTTTGCTGCTAAGTTCAACTTATTGCAAGGCTATTGTTACTATATGTTGCTTAGGAAAATTCCTATTGTTTTCAGTACGACGAACGTGCCACAGTGCTTTAGGTAATAGCGAACGCTGTACGGCGCCCACATAATATAGCACATCAGATAACGTTAAGGTAATGGATATCTAGAATTTTTCAATTTTCAGCTGTAGGTCATATCATGACTTTGTTCACGCTGAACATAATTCAGGACACAAGCATTTAATAATCAACTAGCATGACTGTCGTTGATAGAGCATTATTACCACGCGATTTATATTTTAATTGATCAGCTATGAATTCTCCATATGGGAAACGATATCCATCGACCCGAAATTGTAGGTTCTTGGTACAGCATTGATATGTTGTTTCAAGAACCTGCAACACATTTTATACTATATCGTACGATACGTGTAGGCTTTTTACGTGCATGCATATCTTTTCTTACGATATATGTGTTGATTTTATGGACACGGCATTCCGCGTCAACGAAAAACTCTTTCTTCCTTATCGCGAATATCTTTATTCCTATTTAGGAGGACAGGCCGTCAAGCATTGTAGCTTCCTATCTATCGATCTTCGCTTTCGCGAGTCTCTCCCTATTATGTCCAATCATTTCATACAAACCTGTACAACTGGCCTTATCAATCTGCGAATCAAGCTCAGCTGCCCTCTTAACACGACATTGCCATTTCGATTTCGCGTTCAACCTTAAACGTAACGAACTACGACTACGGTTGCATCCATTCCGTTCGTTAAAAACCTCGGTACGATCTTGCACTTTACCAGTGTTCCGCGCAGCCGATGAAATTGAGATGTATCTTTCGCTAGACATACACGCGGGGTGTCCAAATAGTTTTAAAAAGGGCCCTGCTACTACAGTTTAGTCCGTTCTTTATTGTAGTTACCTGCTACTATTTCAATAGGTATTTATACCCTATATACCCAAAGTTTAAAGATATTTTCCAGGCTCCCTAGGCTCTTTTGGGCCACGTTGTTTATGTGAAACAATATCAACTACTCTCGTAAAGAACATTCGTTTAAATAGCTTTCGTTCTCTTACTCAGTGGAAAAAATGTCATAACAAAGTGAAAGACTATAGTTAATATATAGCTACATGTGGCATCTTAATATTTAACGTTGTTTTCGGTAGGAGAAGGACAAATCGATACTTATTTTTGCAATCGGATTTACTCAAGCATGCATACGATGTATATTATATCCATGTGTGACCTAGCCCCTTGATCTAACCTTGGTTCTACGCTTATCGCTGTCGCCTGTTCGCAGATCCTCGGCTGTAGCCTTCTGCTGACGTGGATTCCGAATATTTCACTACAACGAAACCCGCGTCATCTCGAAAATCGGGGATCAACTCATTCTCTCTATGGAAACGTTAGCTATCAAGCTACAACCGGCGGTACCATTCACAACAGCGGCGAACCCCCGCTCGCGCGAGGAATCACTTCTATCAGTAGCAACCTAGAGTGCGTATTCAATTCACGTAATGAAACAAATCGGTAACGCTGCAGCGATTTCAGCGTCGCCGTAGCTTTTACAACCAACAACGGCGCATCCGTACAAATACACACAGACTTACAGCGAACGAAAGATCCGCGCAAAGCGGCATAAGTCGCGCTCGCTCCAAGTGATAATCGTCAAAACGACAAGTAAACGTTTGCTGAAGACAGATACACGTACAGGACCCGGGCTAATCGGGTCGACGTTAGAGTTTGTATGGACGGGATGAAAAACATGTACGAGAAGGTAGTAGTCCGGCGAAGACTTGGCTGAAATCGATGGAAGTCAACGTGCTCTAATTTATATCTAGAATGTATTTCACGCAGCAATCATTTTGTGTAAGAGGCGATTTTGAAAGCTAGATTTTGGTTTTATGCCATGCACACGGTTCGGAACAAAAGTCACTCGAGAATCTTTATTTGACATGTATGTTTCAGTTCTCTCTCTGTTTACCATTCTCTTAATAACAGAGTACTATTGCCATATGATCCAAACCCAAGAGAGCGTTGTTAATGAACTATGTGAAAATACCGTTTAATTTACTCTTTTCCGTATGGCCTAGTACATAATATACTCATTAGATCAATCTCCGCGTCCATGTCGTCTTTGGTCATCGTAGCAAACACTGTTTACGAATTTCCTTTCTATTGCGTTTAGGACTTTTCTATTCGACAAGTTTCGCAGATGTAAATTATTCTCTGTTTTCCACTGTCGTTGGTTCTCGTTTACCGTGCTGTCACGTTGTTGTATCAGTTTTCCAAGACAGAGAACATCAACTTCCCATACCAACTTACCTAGCTTTATTCTGTACCGCTATATTCTGTATTATTATTACCGCTTCTGCTAGCTTTTGCCGCTGCTGCTTGCAGAAGATACATGGGATTGTATCCCCGGCGGAAAGAATACACCTTTGGTGATACATATGAAGTCCTATTCAAGTAGGATAACTCGATCTGACTTAGCTACTTTGGGTCCCGAAGAAACAGGGTAACAGGCGGATACGGAAACTCACCTAGGAAGTATCTAAGTTATTAGTAAGCACGCGCCGGAATTAATGTGTCGCTCTTAGCTAAGAGCACGGCCAAAGGAACGGGGCCGGAGAGACGAGAGAGTATAGCTCGGCTACTATCTTCTGGATACATCTTTTGTAACGCAATCTACGGTAAACCTAACTGCACATGAAGGCTTTATCTACATGGTATTTGTGGTTTAAATGTCGGGATTACCAACAGGGTCAACGTTGTGTTAGTCCGTTATATGCTGATATGGACACGAGATCGCCTTGTAGTTTATCAAAGGTCTGTGACACCCTCTGCCATCGCCGGCTGTTATAGTCGGAAAAAAAAACATCTTTCAAGACGGACTCAACTCCCCGTTGTCCATTCTACGACAGTGTTTATACTATTTTACTACACTTCTTCAAGAACCTGTCATAATAGCGAGGGGGCTCAATGCAGGAGCAATCTAAAAAGCTTAAGGAATTAAAATTATATTCACTTTCGCCCCGTTTCCGACCGCAGTTTTACTCGAAGATCAAAAGGTGCTTGCCAAGATTTAGATTTGAACCACTTTGTGACCCTTCTCGGTTAATACCCGACAAATACGTTACCACTGTTGCGACCTCGCTGAGAGGTCCAGTCCAGTCCTGACCAGAGATCATTGGCCTGGCCATTCTCGCTGCCATTCAAACGTAATAGGTGCGCGTCCCTTTATGTAAACAATAGAAAATTCAAATCATTGTGACACCGGAAGAACAAATGAATTTCTACGATTGTAACGACGTTAAGCAAAGTACTCTGCCGAGCGAAGTTAGAGGACAGCCTGACAAATCACACGTTCCCACGAACCTTCAATCCTAAATGAAACCTTTGGGCCGTCTTGACAATCAACTAGTCAATTTTGACTAGTTGGACTACGTTACATTATTAGGGAGATAAAATGAATCCTGTTTCTAGTACGTGAATTCCCTTTTCTCATCATTTTGAATTTTATCCCACATGAGCATGTGGATCTCCTTCACACCGATTCAATACACGGAGGTTCCGTCGTTAGGAAAGGCAGCGTTTTTCCTTAACATAAGGCGATGGTACGATAATGGCGAGAGGCCCATATGGCTGTGTTATAGCCTTGGGTTCACTCAGTGGGCAGTATTCTGCTGCCTTTTTTGGTGTCGCTCCGGTCTCTTAAACGATATTTACATTCATTGGTCACACATATCTGTGGCGTCATATGGCGTTCAATATGACTAATATTAAAAGCTCACAGTTCTGTCCAGAAGCCACATGTACCTACATTCTATCGTTGTGTTGTAATAGCAATGACGGCGACCTATGTAAATATGAAGTATCTACGAACTGGCTCCAAACTGCTGACTATTATTCTGGGATCGAATACTCAATCATATAATGAAAATGTTTCTGAGGAAGATCCGTGTTTTTTCCAGCCAAATTTTAAGCACTTTTTCTTCAAAGGCAATTTAGTACTGTTATTATTGCTATTATCCTATTGCGCCGACACACTTATGCCCGATTAGCATAAGCTTCGGGATCAATACTTTACTTGGATAATTCACCAAATAAACAGGCGTTCTAAGTAACGTATGCGCAAAATCGTACCTTCTAACCTCCACGTATACGGGATTTCGAAAACTGCAGGTCAACTCCATGGAAAATGTAAAATACCTACCCGACACCGCTCAAATTGAAGACTTAACAGTAAACCCAATCGGTGAAGTGAAATGCGAGAATTGCTTCGAATCTTTCGGTCGAGGTGTTAGAGAAACACGTTTATCGAAGTTAGTCGACTCCCAGTAGCGTAATCGTTACCCGTTTTGATCATACGTTTAGAGTATGTTCACAGCTATCCCGAGCACCGGCACAATTTGATATTCTATCTATTTACATATATATATATATATATATATATATATATAAACCATTCGACAAACCAGTGTCGATTGGGTTGTCGAACGAATTGGATGGTACCGACCGGGCAATTTTATTACTAGATCTTCTTAAAGCAACTTTTGTAGTGACTATTTTTCCGCTTAGCTCTGATTAAATCGAGCACACAGGACGCTAATAGTTCGTTCTTCTTATGGCTTCAAACTTTCGTGAAGAATCTTGCTGTTTACAGGGCTGAATTCGGAATAACTGCTTAGCTCAGGCCGAGTGTTGTTTAGACCTTAAAATACGGGGTAATATGCTGCGCCTACTGAAGTTAGATTAAATGTTTGGAATTAGTATTGTATTATTCATCAAGGACGCTTTATAGGCTTAACTACCGTAATTATTTAAAGTTCGTAGAACCTTAAGAACCTATCTCATTCAAAGTGGCATTTAAAATTTGCTTCATCTACTGACGTCCAAAGATGTTATCAAATATGACTGTGTATATAAGCACGGGTTGCAGGATGCAACTACCCTAATCTGTTACGGACTCTTAATTGTTTAGTCTAGCTTTTAAAAAACCAGTTTTATGCATGATGTTTTACCAATGCCAACTAAAGATATCTTTACGTCGACGAGATTTGCAAATGGTGTAATATAGGTCTATTGGGTTTCGCCTTATTTTTCTTTGCCAATTGCGTCACAGGTTCTCAGTGATAAAGTCTGAATTAATTTTTTTTAATTTAAAAAAATTAAATTTATGAAAGAAATTGTACGGACTTAGGAGACCTTCAAAAAAGGCCAACCTGAACTATATATACGTTTTCTTCAGTGTGTGTTTTCACCTGATGTGTATCTGTTCCTTTTTTTTGTTTGATGAACATTGATTAGAGCAAGAAGCCTAACGGCCGTATTTATCAGATTCAAATTCTTAGTAAGCAACTATTGACTGTTATTCCATCCGCTAAAATAATGATAATTTTTGTGGTGTAGATTGTTTTGAGTCTTTGAGCTACAACTCTCGTACCATCATATAAATAATAACTTGTGTTGTGTATGTGTTATAACATAAGTTCACTAGCTGAAGTTACTACTTCTGTCTCGCTTGTTATTTATCAACTCCGGTTTCACAGGGTTAACGCGATTGCAACCTCGATGTCCCCGAACAATTCTCAGTGTTCAGATCGCGAAAACGTTCAATGTAGCAGCAGTTTAACCAGTGAACGCCGAAGACCCAGTGATGACTTTGAGCTCAACCGAAGGATTGTACAGGGATGGAGAAACAGGTGAGTTCATGTTGTCTTGTTGTTGCTCTTCTTTTGTTCTATCAAACGAATTGTTTAGTGCTCATTCTGTACACATATAGACAGATAGGCGCCATATGGTTGGAAACAGAAAACGCTTGCGTCTTGGAATAAAAACGAAAAACATCATGTGGAGGATGTGTACATTTATCCAATAGGTGAACCAAGATAGCTGTCACCTGTGGTAGTCAGCTGTATATCCTATCAGGGCAGCTTATGTTTTAGATGTGAATCTATTGTCATGGCCTACGTCATAGCAGAGCTTATCAAGACGTCGAATGTCCAGGTCTTCTGGGTTCTTCCTTTGGTATGGAGATAAAAACTTTTTTATACCAACGGTTATAACGTTGTGGGCTATTGTAAGGACTTCTAGTGGCTAATGCCCATTTGTGCGACTAGCGTGTTAGAAGTTATTATCTTCTTGAGTGTCAGAGTTAATTATTTTATCATATCGTACTACGACATAGAAGATTGTGCAAAAAAATGTTTCTAGCTCCTTGAGGTTCCTGTGGTTGCCGTATCAACTGCACAGTTCTTTCTTCCAAGAGACTGTTTTATTTTGCTAGGGCGCAGCAGGGGTGACGGACGCGCTGTTGTGACAAACGTAGGCAGACGCCCCGTATAATGCGACGTTTCGCAAAACGAACGTTATCAACATCAGGTGCGTATTAATGTCAGCTTTCAAACATGATGACGACGAGGGTCACTGTTAGAAAAGCGAGGAAAGATTCGAATTCGTGTACTTCAGGTTTGGGTAGACTTTGTTTGGTTTCGGCGTCTGTGAGACCTGTTTCTTCGAAGTAAACGAATATCTCTATTGAAGTTAGGTAAACGACGGTAACGATTCGTAAATCAGGGAATTGGTGAAGTGGCTCTGTCGATATCTCGCATATGGTAAATCTATATATGGTTCATACAGAATATTATTCGAGATCAGCCATGCGTGCTATCGAAGTAGATGAGGAATAGAAATTCAATCTTGAGGTGCACTAATACCAATAGTATCCAGCTTGAAAAACATTCTTCTGCTTTGAGTCGTTTCATCGTCCAATGAGCACCATCAAACCATCGTCACACTTACGATCCTTTAATATGTTGTTTTCGGCAAGACCATAGTATATTGAAAAACGTCAGCTGTTTAAATAGCCGTAGGCTTCTAATTAGTTCTACACGGGAATCGGAACTTTTAAACTGCGTAGATAAGAAACGGCCCGCATGTAGATCATGTATGGATAATCTTATATTCTGAGAACTCTAATGAACGTGAGCGTCAATGACAAAGTTGAAATATATCGTATATTGGCCAATATATACTCTACTTGGAGTACTCTATATAATACGAGCACCCCAAGAAGAGCAGTTTCAATTTGACGCCAGACTAACCAGAATACGTGTGCTCTTCTCTGATCAATTTCGGCCCGATAGGCCGAGTAAAATAACAAGCACACAGATGTACATATATGGTTTTCCAAAATAGAAACAAATACTGCAGACCTGATATAATGTATGTCGAACACAGGCTTCACGAAAACAAATTCTATTTAAGGACCTTGTTGCACAACTCTTCGTCCTTTAATGGCCTGCATCTTTCAGAGTTCACAGACGTAATGGAACGCTACGCAGCAGAAATCTTCTAGAATATACATAAACAGAAATAACAGTATAAAAAGTATTTATGTGTGGTGACGAATTATTTTTATAAAAATGTGCACTGTCACACAATTGGCTAGGATACTGCCGTAATGAAATAAGTGAACTTCAAGAAATTATTGATTCATTTTCTTTTACTTTTAATTGAATTACGAACTTTTAATTGAATTTTAAGCTAAGTCACCTTTAGTCCGGCAAAAACGTCATGAAGAAATATAAATGTATAGAAACTCTACGTATTGCAAGCAACGCAACTAGAAATTGTGCACCATTTATATATACATATATATCAACCCATATGAATCACTACCCAGATACATGTCTGCGGCTATCGAATAGCTGTGGCGTTTTTCGTTCCTGCTAATCTTCAAAATTTCTAAATGATTTACATTAACGTAGATAATATATTATAGTAATTTTCAAGTGAAGTCCAATTTGGGTTTCTGCTATTTAAAACAACTCGTTTGACTAGACGGCTGGCCATATTCAACTCGCCGCTAAAAGTGGCTATCTTCAAGAAGATTATAGAAGCTAGCGGAGACGGTACCGAAGAGGTTATCGGCAGTTATACTTTTCTTACTTCCATTGCTTCTGTCCAATGCTTTATGAAGTTGACAGAGCCTCTGTGTTGGCAATATGTTCGTTCACGTCTCCTTGTTACCATTGCATAGACAGGAAATAAGTCAGAGAATCAAATTATCTTAGCAGGCATAATTCTATTTGCTTTTTCTATTCTAACGAGTGTACGGTATTTTCCAACGATCGATATATTGGCAACGGTCGTGAGTATCCACCGTAAGGTTGGCGCTGTTGCGTTCGTGTACATAAAATCTATCAGTTGCGGAGGGTGCAGCTGGCAAACATGAGAGAAGTTATTTGCATGTATTTTGAAGAAGAACAGTGAAACCTCTTTAGGTAATATTGTTAAATCGTGTTGTACCGTTCGAACAATAGAAAATGACACATTTCCAGTTCTTCCGCGAGATTTCTTACGCGCCTTTAAACCCTTTTCACGCTTAAACCTTTAAATTATCGTTATCCTTTTTTGTTATTATACATATATATATA